GGTCGGCGGATTGGGACGGAATGCGGTCCTTCTTTGCATCCTACCCATGGGGGCGGGTTTGCTTCTCGCCGGATGATCCCAGCGCTATTGCTGACTCTGTCACTGATGTGGTGCTACAGGGAATGGAACTATTTATTCCATCATCTGTGGTACCCATCGGAGGCAGATCTCAGCCTTGGTTTGGTCGCTCCTGTAAGACTGCATTACGCAGTAAGCAGGAGTGTTATCAAGCCTGGGCTGCGGCTTCGGCGACTCGGGATGTAAATACCAGCACATTTAAAAAGAAGTATAACTTCGCCTCCAGGTCCTTCAAAAGAGTTATTGCCAAGGCAAAGTCAGAGCACATAGGCAGAATTGGCGAGAAACTAGTTCGCCTTCCTTCGGGAACCCGTGCATTCTGGTCTCTCGCCAAGGCTGTCCAAGGGTATTTCTGTAAGCCATCACTACCATCTCTGCACAGGGAGGATGACTCACTGGCCCATGACGCAAAAGACAAAGCCGACCTTTTAGGCTCTCTTTTTGCGTCCAACTCGACTCTTGATGACGGGGGGAAAACACCGCCGACCATCCCGCGGTGTGAGTGCTCCATGCCGGATGTGCTGTTCTCACAGCGCTCGGTTCGCAAAGCACTGCTCTCCCTGGACATCCAGAAGTCGAGTGGGCCTGACGGAATCCCCCCAATTGTGCTTAGGACGTGTGCTCCGGAGTTGGCACCGGTCCTAACGCGTCTTTTCCGGTACTCCTACTCCCAAGGCGTAGTCCCGAATTCATGGAAGACAGCTTTTGTCCACCCAATCCCTAAAAAAGGCGACCGCTCAGACTCATCCAACTATAGGCCTATCGCGATCACCTCCTTGTTCTCCAAAATAATGGAATCCATTATTAACTGCCAGCTCATCCGGTACCTTGAGGATCACCAGCTGATTAGTGACCGCCAATACGGTTTTCGTCGGGGTCGATCAGCTGGTGATCTTCTGGTCTACCTGACCCATAGATGGGCGGAGGCAGTAGAGTCCAAGGGGGAGGCGTTGGCCGTTAGTCTGGACATTGCGAAGGCCTTCGATCGGGTTTGGCACAAAGCGCTTCTTTCGAAGCTCCCTTCCTATGGGCTTCCCGAGAAATTGTGCAATTGGATCACCAGCTTCCTTGTAGATCGGAGCATCAAGGTCGTTGTAGACGGTGCATGCTCTGACTACAAGCCTATTAACGCTGGTGTTCCACAAGGCTGTGTGCTATCACCAACGCAGTTTCTTTTGCATATCAATGATATGTTGCTAACTGGTAACATTCATTGCTATGCGGATGACAGCACTGGTGATGCTCTATACACCGGCCGTACCAATATTTCTCGGGAAAACGTCGCTGAGTACCGGAACAAACTTGTGTCTGAAGTCGAGTCTTTGCTGAACAAAGTCTCGGATTGGGGGCGACTAAATCTAGTCCAATTTAATCCTCAGAAGACACAAGTTTGCGCGTTTACCGCTAAAAAGAACCCCTTTGTCGTATCTCCTCAGTTTCAAGGCACTCCCCTTCTTGCCTCAGCCAATATCGGTATTCTCGGAGTCGACATATCGAGTGACGTGCAGTTTCGTGGTCACTTGGAAGGGAAGGCCAAATTGGCCTCTAAAAAGCTTGGCGTGCTCAGCAGAGCGGGACAGTATTTCATGCCGGCACACCGCCTGCTACTTTACAAGGCGCAAGTTCGGCCTCACATGGAATACTGTTCCCGTCTCTGGGCAGGGGCTCCCCAGTGCCAGCTCCTTCCACTTGACCGCATCCAACGCAGAGCGGCTCGAATTGTCGACGACCGAGCCCTTTCCGATCGGCTCGATTCATTGGCACTGCGAAGAGATGTTGCATCCCTTTGCATTTTCTTTCGCATCTACCATGGGGAGTGCTCTGAGGAATTGTTCGGATTAATCCCAGCCGCCAAATTTCACGAACGCACATCGCGGCAGAACTCCCGATACCATCCACACCATCTGGATGATTGGCGGTCCACCACTGTGCGATTTAGAAGATGTTTTCTTCCTCGCACGACCTCCTTGTGGAATCGATTACCATCAGCGATTTTTCCGGACCGATACGACTTAGGGACCTTCAAGAAAAGAGCGTACTCCTTTTTAAAAGGCCGGCAACGCATCTGCGATTCCCCTGGTGTTGCAGTTGTTCATGGGCGGCGGTAGTCACTTACCATCAGGTGAGCCGCATGCTCGTTTGCCCCTTCTCCTATAAAAAAAAAATGTGCGTTACACAAATTAACAACACAACAAATTAGAAATAGCTTGGTAGCGATCACCTCATTTCCAGGGGTTATTATCATCTATAAATTTGTTAATATTATAATAACCCTTTTTATACAAACTTAGTATAATAAAGTTTTTGAACTTTGAGCAGGTCAAATTTTGTATATTTTCTGGAATTTTGTAAATATATCTATATGTCTCGAAGAACCAACAACCGATGGAGAGAAAAGGTTCTCGAGTAGCAGCCTCGTACTGGTAGGCGAAGTGTAGGCCTTACGCCCACTAGATGGAGTGACAACCTGGTAAGACATACAGGAAATCAATGGATGCAGGTGGCTCGGGACCGTGCTTTGTGACATTCCTTGGGGGAGGCCTATGTTCAGCTGCGGACTTGTGATGGGACATGATGATGATGATGATGATGAAGTTGGTTGTACAAAATGTTTAATTTTATCACTTGATATCATTTTGTATTGTTATTAGGAAGGATGCTGCTGTCCCCATCCTCAGTTTTATTTTCCCGTATCGTGTCTTATGGCACCCAAAGGAAATAATATAGGCTGTGATGCATTCTCTTATGCCGCCACTGTATGGCCTTATAAAAATAAATGTTAGTGTGATCAAAAATATATAAGTAGATACATAACAAAGCTATGCTTAAGGTTTCTCTATGAAAAAAATAAGTAACGAAGATGTCCTAAGCAGACATCGCCCAATATACCTACCAATAAGCTAATATGGCATGAGCCGGACATTTATCTCGAAAACCCAACAATTGACTCTCTTCACTACAAGCAGGATCCTTTCCTCTAAACAACTTACGACAAGCGGCACCGAAATTACAGGCTCGATAAAGCGTTCGAAACGTTGGGAATCAAAAACTTATAATTAAACGCGATGAAATCCCTAAAATTAGTTTCATTGAATAAAGGCGTGAACATAAGAAATCATTATATAATTTATCTTATTTTATTTATATTCATGTAACAGACTAAACACGTCTAATAATTCACAATTATATCATAATAATCATCATCATTGCTAGGTTACTCTATAAACCTCGTTAGGAAGATATCCAGAACGATAACTATAAAAACCAGAACTGTAAAAAAAATTTTGGAAGTCGTTCCTGTTGCGATTAAAAATATACCTATTTTAAAATAGAAGTTCACATATAGAATTAATAGAACAAAAAATATTAATAATTTAAAATTAAAAGTTTTGTACAACCAACTTCAATATAGGTCAGACCTTGATTAAATTTATATGAAACCACATGTAAAGCACCAGCTTTCAAATAAAAAAAATAATCATCGAAATCGGTCCACCCAGTATAAAGTTATGAGGTTACACAAATAAAAAAAACATACATTCGAATTGAGTACCGTCTCCTTTTTGAAGTCGGTAGAAAAAGCTGTTTTACGAACGCAGCCTACGCGTTTAATTTGAATGCGATAGTCTAGCTCACCTGCAAATTATCAGATTAAATATTGATAAGCGAAGTTAAGAGAGGCTCTTGCATAAGCTGAGATGTCTTCATCGCCGCGAGAGGGCGCGGCGGCGCGACAAATGCGCGCGCACGTTCGCGCCACATTACCATGCGTGCGTCGACGCATTGAAATTTAACGTCTCAATTCAAGACCATTTTACATCAGATGCGCCTTCATGCATTTTTATTGACGCCCTCCAGTCCCCGCTCACTTTAAAGGTTATGTTGTCGAGAATATAACGACACCGAAGATGAATCGGTCCTTCAGATCCAAAGTGATTATACCAGTTGCATTTTTATTACTGCATTATGGATAAAGAAGTAGTCAATCATTATCAGTGTGCCTGTGCCATTAATCTATACGTGCATATAAAAAAATGAAGAGTACGTCTGTAATATGTAAATAAATGCCTTAGCCGGTCCGGACTAACTATCTTCGGAATAACTACACTGATTGTAATGAAACTTCACAACAGATATAGCGTAATGCCAGGAGTAACCTAGACTAAGTTTTTCCGAAAAATCGGAGTTTTTTGTGAATAACTGAAAATGTAAATAACGCTACATTAATAGATCCTACCCAAGCAGAACCGGGGCGTGTCGCTAGAACTAAATATGTAAGATACGTAATACTTTTATGATAAACTCGCATCAAAATATATAATTATCAAATCAAAAATTAATTTTTACAACTTCAGCATACCAAACGGTATAATAATTTATTTATTTTTATTTATGATCAAGATTATTTATGTATAGAGGCGAGCTTTAATCAAATACTCGTAACTTTTCTCCACTAAACTAATGAAGTAAGTCACTTTTTGCAACATGCGCAACTATAAACTATTTGGATATAACTTGTACTTATTAAGCTAAGTAATATTATTTACTTTCCTCAAAAATTTCAAAAATATTTTTTATATTTTATAAAGATAACGGTCACTATTCAACTACACTACGGTACTAAGTGGATGCTGTAGCCCATACACACCTACATTTGTCCTCAATAATTAAAATCAGATGCGTGTTACACCAGCTAAATAAGATGGACTGCCTCGTTATTAGTAAATGTCTTCAGTTCTTCCCCAACCCGTTCATGCTTGCTACAGCCACTATATGAAATAAAATTTCAATTAAAACGGGCTAACCGTTTAGACGTAGCTGAACGACTAATATCTGAACAACGTTTACAATAATTTATTTTAATATGATAAAACTTAACCAGTTTTATTTCAATCCCTATAAATTTTTGTTTTTTTTTGTAGGTCTGGTTCCAGAATCGACGTGCGAAATGGCGCAAAAAGGAGCACACGAAAAAGGGTCCAGGGCGGCCGGCGCACAACGCACACCCGCAATCCTGCTCGGGAGAACCCATTCCTCCACACGAGCTCCGCGCTCGCGAGAGGTGACCCACTTACTAACTAATCTAGTCACAAAATAACCCCCTCGTAAACAACCGAATATCTCACAGAGCTTTCTTTAATTATTTCCACCTTTTGAAGTTATACTTCATTTGGGGACGTTTGGGAAAAATGTTGAGAGTGAATTTTTACGATGCGCGCACACACCGACACCCAAAAGCGACAACATCATTGGATAATTGTCTCCCAAGGTTTTTTTGTTTTGTTACAATAAAGAAGTATAACTTCCAACGTGCGTACATAAGTACACACACAGTTTTTGGAACGAAGTTCTTTATCGGGCGGTACGGGTTTGGCGGATGGGAGCTAGGCGACAAAAAGTGTAAGATTTTTTCGTCATTATCCCTTGTGTCACAGTGAAGGCGAAATAAGGAAGTGAGATGGAATAATATCTATCTCTCTTATCTTGCCATGAAAGAAATATTATTTTATTTCAAATGACGCTTCATTTTAATAGACGCTAGTAATTCATTTATTTGTATTTGTTAATCAATAATATAATACCTACGTTTATCAATAATAATATACTATGCAAGGAACTTCATTCCAACCGAGTGTTCCATGATACTCACGCATTTTTTTTATAAAATTGAAGTGACAAACCAACATACGGTCCAACTGATGGTAAGTGGTTACTTCAACCTATGAAAACTAAGATGGAATGCCTCAGATTAATTACAGGCTCTCTATATCCTATAGATCGGAACACAGTACTCTCTGTTCCTTGGCAACTGAAATAAATAAGAGCGTGGTACTTACCCTACCGACTTAAGGACAGGAAGGAGCAAAGAAGTCCAGCTCAAAATCCTCTCTTTTATTTAATTTCACTAATTGAAAATAATGACAGTAAGAATCTAAATCGAACTTTAAATATTATCTAAACAATGCCGCAATAATATTCTGAGATATTTAAATTTTATAACTTTTTTATATAAGTTAAGGGCGAGGATAATCGAGCACACAGTCCATCTGATGGTAAGTGGTTGCTGTGGCCCATAGACAACTAAATCTATCCTCGTTTGCGAATCAAAATTCAGATGCGTTGTCAGCCGTGAGGACTAAGATAGAATGCCTCTTTTAAAGTAAAAAGGGTCTCCGGTTCTCTACACTCAGCTTAAGAAACACAGCAGCAAAAGTGCTGCTATTTTACGCTGGTATTCTGTGAGAGCGTATTCCTTCCCCGATCAAGCCGACCCATTCGTGCTACAACTTTACAATTAATATTTTCAAACATACTTATTGTATATAGCAGCATGGCTCTACCGTGTATAAAATATATTATAGTAGTGTAGTTATAGTTTTCAATAAACTTTAAAAGCTACTTCTTAATATTCATTAGTCAAACTCACTTCTATGGAATTAATATTAGGTTCTATACTTATTTGGCCCTATTTTATTAACAGGGCGCGAAGAAGAAAGAAATTGGCAAAAGCGCTAGAAAGACAGGCGAGAAAACTACGTGCCAAAGGTATCGCAGTCGACCTGGAAGCTCTAAAAGCGGAGTACTTGGCTCAGCACAGGAACAGCGGCCTCTATTCCGACTCAGATGGTGACGCAGAAGGAGAAGATAGCATGATTGATGTGGTAGGAGGTGATTCATGTCACGATTCCGGCCCCGAAGATTTTTCCTTATCAGGCAGGCTCCGCGCGCCTTCAGGCGCCGATGCGATTAACAATTCTGATAGTTCGACATCAGATGCCCATTCAGGCAGAAATTTCAGCCCAGACCCGCAGCCGTCTTTCTTTAAGCAATTTGGCACAAGTGGAGCGAATTTCGAGAAGTTTGATTTTGACTCGGGCAGAGCAGTCTCCTTAGATCTCAGCGGAACAGGAACAGCCACGGAACAAGATTTGTCAAGAAATGGCGGAACACGAAAACATAATCCGTTTAGCATAGAGTCGTTACTTAACACGTGAAAGTAACTTATTTAGAATTAGATTTGGCTACAGAGGCTCTCGGATCTAATTTTACTTTTGACAACTTGAATACAGGCATTTTTTGAAATGTTCCTTTGCTTTAAATATTGATATAAAATATTATTATTACTAGTGCTTCGGTAATAAAGACTAATAAGTACCAGTTAACATATCCTGTGTGAATATTAGATGTAGGAATTTTGTAAAATATAGACATATGAACATGTAGTGTAAATAGCGTGTCTCCGTATTTATTTCGTCTTGAATGTTAATATATTTATTTCTTTTTAAATCCAGTTGGGGCAATAATTTAAAAATATTATTTGTTGATCATATTCTAATTTATTTTCTTTATTACTTATAGATTTTATTGTTATAGTATAAACAAATCAAATGCTTGAACAAATATTAACGTAATACGTATTGTTTATATTGTATTACATTTTAAACTATTGCCTAAAGATATTTTCTAGGTGCGTTTTTTTTTTAATGTAATAAAAGTCTGTTTAAAAAGAGTTCACATCGTTTACGTTACATTTAAAGGAGCTGTAGAGTCTAAGTAGACATTCTGTTATATTTTCATTCATTATCAAAAAAAGATACACAAAAAATATATTTAAATTTAAAATGTTAGTTTGTCGCCGGACATGCTCCAACTAACCACTCTTTCACTTTATACAAAATAGTTACTAACAGTTCTGGAACTTATTATTTCCGAATTGAAAAAGTAAATTCAAAAGAAATTAATATGACTTACTTTTTTTTAAATAAATGTCTCTAACTCTACGTATATCTGTTTCGTGTTTTAAAAGTCACAACTTACCTTTTCGCCAAATCATCGACGGTTCGCATCGTAATCTATTGCATTAACGAAGAAATGGCTTTAAATTTTTAAAAGTTTTTTGTTTGTATTAATGGCTATATAATCAATAGATTTTTCCCACCACTTTGTTTATTCACGCCGCCACACTCTAAAAAAGCCATCTTAAATAAATAATCAACTTAAAATAAATGTGGCGACGCAAATACAATTATGTATTATTCTCAAAAGAAATATAATCTGAGGTCGTAAAATAAGTAAGTAATTAATGGACGCATAACGCGCGACCAGCGATATGGCGACCAATTAGCGAAAAACAATATGGCCGAGACGTTTTATTACGATTTTTACTCGAGGGCGCATTAAATGCTGTACAATTCAACACGTACGAAATGATTCGCATTTAATACTTTTATTAAAAAGTAATTATAATTATATTTGTTGAAACGACGAGTAGGTTCCATTGAATTTAATGAACTCTACTGCTTTTGACTAGAAATTTAACTACTATCCTTTAATCTTTATCTATTTTTGCACTTATTGTACTCAACATTGCATTGTGGCTTTTAAGCCAGATTAATACAACAATAAATCTGATTAATATATATCTCACAGATTACATAATCAATTTGTTTTGCAGTTATGTATTAAACGCTAAATCGGTTCATACGATATCATTAAAAAATTAAAAAGCAATTTTCCTTTTCGACCAAAATCAATACTAGCCTAATATTTAGAGTAATATTTGTGTATATAGTAAATATAAAAGTTAAACTAAAGCACGGTCGCGGAGCAGGAATTTTTTTTTGCTTTGCATTTTTGAACTTAATTCCCATCGTAAAAGGTTTCTTTCTATTGCAACCAAAATAGGTTTAGGACCTTTTAAACAGTATTTATGATTCGAAAACCTAGTTTATTCTCAAATTATTAAAGATCACATTTTTATAATTGCATATTAATTTGGAATTCTTCCTACTCCGCGATCACGCCATAGTATGGATACGCCTAGATATCATAGACCTAGGGTACGTTAAGAGCAATTTGAAGTTTGCTAAGAAACAAAATTTTATTTTGAATGTAAGAATAAAACCGATAGAGATAGAGTTTTAAAACTATGTAAGATGCAAATCGTGTACCAAAACACACGTAGTATTCCTATTTAAGCGAAGCCCAAAAAGAGGGAAGTTATCAATACCGTTGTAATAAATTAATATTACGTACACTATACACGATATCTCCGAGGTTAGTTAACTGATTAAGTTTTTTTTAGTTTATTTTCTGATAAAATAATACCCTAGCAAAGGAGAACGTATGATATTTGAAATCAGTTTATATTTAATAAAAAAATCAATAATATATTCTAAATTGCAATATATAAGTTAGTAGATTTCTCATTTGACTTTCTTACCAATTGGTCGAATTTATTTCACATTTTTGTAATTAATATTCATTCTCACCCACAAAATTACACATATATATGTTTTTACAGATAGCATAATTTTTATCATTGTACATTTTTGTAGTCTGCAACAATATGTTAGGTACAAAATAATTAAGTTTTGTTTATATTTATAGAAAGAAGCGGGACGTGATAAATATTTGTAAATTTATTATCACACGGTGTAAGATGTAAAAAGTACCTATGTTATGTGAGTAACTTATTAAATCAAAATATAACGTCATTAAAATCAATATTAATATTTCTTTTATTTAATTCCTAAACCAAATATTTTTTATAAGTGATAGAGTGACGCTGCAGCTATCTCATTCTTGTAATTGTATATATGGTTGGCTCGACCGGGAAAGACTACGCTCTCATACAAAATCAGCGTAAAATAGCAGCTTGATGCTGTTGTTCTTCGTATTGTGAGTGCAGAAAACCAACCTTTTTACTGGAAACAGGCATCTCAGAGATCGACGCTTCTACATTTTGATTCTTAATCGATAATAGATGTGATAGTTATAAGCCATAGCATTCACTTACTAACAGATGGACTTTGTACTCGTTTGTCACTCTTACTGTAAAAAAAATACCTCATCGAAATTTTTTCTTATTACATTTTTAATTAACAACCTACATACCACTGTTGAGCACATTCCTTTTCTACTCATCATTCTTCTATTAACTTCAGCCCTTCACCTTCTTCTCCCGTACATTCTTCTGTTCATTTCCATCGGCTTCTCCCACCGTAAGGAAGATTTGTTCGGCAAGCGTAATAAACGCAAAATAAAATAATGATGTATCCTCTTGACCGTTTCTGGATTACGATGACAACATTCGAGTTACTGGAAGCTATTAACTGCGCAGACGAAACAACAATAATAGTTGATGGCCTTGAAACCGCTGAGCTGATTTTAATAAAACTAAAAACTACAAACGGTACAAAAACTCTAATAACTGCCGCTAAAAAACCTACTTTCAAATTAATAAAACCGCACTCAAATCGGTTTATCCGTTTAAGAGCTACGGTTTCATAGATAGACACACAGGCAGACAGATAAACACACATAATATACACACGCGATATTCTACTTCATTATCATCAGCCCGTAAAAGTGGCTAAAGCTCCACTGCTAAACATGGAATTACAACGTTTAAGAGAGGATTTGCTTTACGTCACACTTCGCTTTCAGATCTGCAATCGCCAATCCAGACGTCTCGCACCTATACAACTGCTTCGTGTCGATAGTCTGGGTATTTTATATCCGGCGTACTTTTTCTCCAAATAATATAATATAAAATATAGACAACTCTTTCGATAAATTCGTGCCTGTAGTACGTTTTCAACCGACTTCAAAAAAAAAGGAGAAAGATCTCCTTTTTTGTGTGTTATAGGTACCTCTAAACTCTTTTCTAGGTGAACCGATTTTGATGATTCTTTTATAATCAATGCTGAAATCTGTGATGCTTATCATGTGGTCTTGTATAAATTTGGTCAAAATCTGACCAGTAGTTTTTGAGTTATCCTTAATAATGCGTATTAAATTCACTTCGACCACATTGATGATGTTCTAATTTTATTAAAATTAAAGTCGGTTGTACAAAATTTTAAAATATTACCGCTTGTTGAAAAGCCAAACTTTCAGCAGTGGTATTAATTCGTATTAAAGGGCTAACGACAACGTATAATTAGTTACATAAACAACATATTAGTATCTTCCATAGTCCAATACACTGCATGGTATTTTACTTTTATTCATCAATCAATAGATCCATTCATCCATCTATTACATCCTATTAAAAGTACACTGCTGAACATAGGCCTCCCGCCTTATTAGTGATGATATTTGCCACAGTTGCCATGGTTGCCAAGTGGTTTGGTAGCCGCAGTTTTTTAATATTTAGATTATTTATCAAAAAGATGCAATGGTCCATCTCCATTTCAATATCCTCTCTCATCTCTTCTCGCAAGAGTGATATGGGGTAGTGGATGCTTTCGCGCCGCCACTATTGAATATTATAAAGAAATAATAATTAAGAGATGTTTACATGCCTTTACACAGTTAAAAATATAAAATTCAATTTCTTATATATATTAGGTATTGTTGAAGAAGTTGCAGAATTTAAACTCGTGTATTTCCAGTAAATCTTTATATATAAAAATTACGTGTCACGTTGTTTGTTAGCGATGAACTCCTTAACTAATGAACTGATTTCAATGGAATTTCGCACACTGTGTGCATTTTGGTCCAACTTGAGAGATAGGATAGTTTTTATCCTGATAAGTGACACACAATATTTTTTTTTATTACGAATTTAAGCATTTTTTATATGAAGGGTCGTCGAAAAGGGCAGAACAACGTCTGCCTGGCCAGCTAGTCATAAATATATTAATAAGACCAATTGCTCTCGTCACGTGTAAAACTAGTAAAGCATAATAACAGCCTACTGTTGCATCGTATGAGCCTACTGCCGTATACAGGTTTGCTCACATTTCTGATAGGGTGTGAAACGGGACAAGTAAACACTTTTCAATTTATTTCTGATGATTATATTATTTTTCACTGTACTTACTTCAAGCGAAAGCTGTCTTAACCGTTTTGTAATTTCCAAACAAAAACGATCAAAGGTATTGCAAAAATCATAACTCACATTATTTTATCAGTAAATAATAATAGAAACTAACTTTCAGATTTTTATTTTTTATTGAGTTAGTTTTTAAACTTTTTCAGTTCACTA